TAACCATTGTCTTGTTAATTAGCATGGGTGGTGCCATAGTTCAGACTGTTGTGAGTAGTGTTTGCATATTTCCTTCACAGGTCTTTCCTTGAGCAATCATTTGTGTATTCCTTTGTGTTTACATAGTGTTTCAGAAATATAGGTACTATTTGTATCGCTGGGCAATGCATTAAGTGTGTTCAACGTTAGGGAACACAGCCAGGCACACACTAAGGGGATCATTTTAATTTACTCTCCCATCAGATCCAGTTACTCTTGTCAACACTAGATCTCTGTTACTGTGGCCATGCTGGTAGGTGTGTGGGGATGTGAGATGGAGAGGAGGAGGGTGGGCGTTGGCACTGTGGTGTTCTCCTGCAGTTTCCAGATGAGTAATGGTGCTGAGGACCTGAGCCTCATCAGTGCTCACTAGACAGCTGCCTTGTGAAATGCCCTTTAAATACTGTTCACTATTCCATTGGAGCATCTGTTTTTCTTATATATCTTTCCAATTCTTTGTATAAATATTTTGAGCACTTCTTTTTTGTTTATTCTAAATTACCATTATGGTTTTTCCCTCTATGGAAAGTGCTCTTTTAAAAAAATCTTACTTTTGCTTCCCGTAAAACGATAAATATATTTTTCAGGTTTGACTCCAAAAAAAAAAAAAAAAGGTTGCTTTGTATTTACCACTTAAAGCTACAGTATACCCAGAATTGATTGTCTGTGTGCAGAGGGAGGTAGGAGTAAAAAAGGAAGAAAGGATTTTCCTGCTCCCATATTTACAGGATCCATGAGCCTTCCCTGGGAAGACTCCAGTGTCTCCAGTGCACTGCACACGTGAACTTCTGTCATTACTCATGGAACTGTATGTGTGAGGGCCTGTGTCTGAATGACATGTGTTCTGTCTTCTTCATCTACTGTTTACTCTCTCTTGCATGTGTCTCTGCTGTGTGTGTGTGTGTGTGTGTGTGTGTGTGTGTGTGTGTTCAGAGACTGACAGGGGATCCTTCCTCCATTGCTCTCTCCTCATTCATTGAGGCAGGGTCTCTCAGTTGAACCCAGTGTTCATGATTTCATCTAGTGTAGCTAGCCCTCTTATTTTTATTTATTTGTTTATTTATTTTTTTGTTTTTTGAGACAGGGTTTCTCTGTGTAGCTTTGCGCCTTTCCTGGAACTCACTTAGTAGCCCAGGCTGGCCTTGAAC